ACCCAGCTCTGCTGCTGGGTTGCAATTAACGGGGCAAACACAATCCTTCCCCATCAACGCTTCTGAGAACCCTCTCCAGGAAATTTAGGATGGACAATAGGATTTGGAGATGAAAACACATTTGAAAGTGCCACAATTGCCTGTGGAAGCGAAATTGTATTTTCTGAGGGAACAGTCAGCAGCGCAGTGTCTGTCCCTCCCTGATCAGCCCTTTCATCCAACCTCTTGGAGAGCAGCAATAAACATATGCACTGGCCAATTTATTCAGTCTTTTGCATTTGTAGGACATATTTTTATGTGAAAAGGAGCTTAGCTTTACATTTATATGGCTCTGATGTGCTTAAAGTTAAGCCGCTCTCTAAGCATGTGGAGAAACAGGGACCTATTCGCAGAGCACGTACCACCACCGTGTCCTGCTCCCTGCTGCCAACATTTGCACCCTGCAAGAGAGGGAGGTCTGGCTGCTAATTGCATTTATTTGAAATGACGACAGACCTGTGCTGACGCCGGGTTTGCTTATGCTCACGGTAGGAGCGGCGGCTGCCGCGGCACATGGCATTTCGCAGCCCCGTTGGCCGGGGATCTGACTTTTGCTGCTATCTTGGAAGCTGGGAGAAAGACACCAGACGTTTGCTGTTTTCTTCGCCGCAGTTGCTTTACGCAAATAAAAAAGGTGCGTGAGGCCTCTGGAGGCTGCGGGTGGCTCGTGGCCAGGGAGAAGGGATGCCCCTTCCCTGCTGCGCCGGGGAGCCGGGGGCGAGGCTGCTCCCGGCGGGTTCGCGGGGAGCCGGAGGGAGGGATGCTCAGCACTGGGTGATGGGGCTACCCAGGGCTTGTGCCGGGAGCAGTCAGCCAAAGGCACTTTTAAAGCAACATTAATATTTCGGAGACATGTATGAGGGTAGATTCCCCATGAGCACAGTGTCTGAGGCAACTGGACCCCAAAGAAGGAGGAATTTGTCACCTCACGGAGGGTCGGGGATGCTGCAGATGCTCTTCCCCCACGCCGAGGTGGGGCTCCTGGCCTCTGCCCACCGAGCCCCAACACCAGCAGCCATACGCCTGCAGAGATGACTCTCCAGGCTCCATTTTTAATTCACTCGCTTTCATTTATATTCAAATCAGAGGATAAATGTAGGCAATGCATGCATTTCAGCTAAGGCAAGGCTGCCGTTTCAGCACAACCACATAGAAGGTGTTTTATTTTTAAAATACATGGAGAAAGAGATGAAGACACAGAGTGCTGTGCTCTAACTATTGTCTTCTTGTTACTAGCATTGGCCTGGTCATGAAAACAGAAATTTAAAAAAATTACTTGTTTCCCAACATACATGGTGTTTATTTGGCTCCAGCAGTGAAAATAAAGCCATGACTCCTGCTTGTGTTTTAAGTCAGTCCCTGCATCTCATGCACTGGTTTGCAGAGATGCTCCTGGGGCTTTCTACTCTCAACCACTCTTTATTTGATAACTTAAACAAATGATAAATATGCATGTGGAATAATGAAAATATTCACAGAAGTGCAGCCTAAAGAATATATTGATGTCTCCTAAATCAGGGCAATGCCTGACAGGGGTCTGCAAAGGGAGTGGAGGACACCCTCCACAGGGGCAAGTCCTGCAAAAACCCCCTGGGTCAGGCTCTTAAACGAAGGTGGAAAAGTTTCCAGCATCGTGTGCAGCTCAGACTCACAGGCTGTGTGTCCCCATAAAGCACATGGGGTCTCACAGATAATCCTTTACATTTAGAGCATAATTTTTCTTGAAAATATGATCCTGACATGCTTAAAACTGACAGTGCCCTTTTGCAGTGTGCTTTTTAAGCAGCCATATGCTAACACCTACATGCAGTGACCAGTCTATTACTTAGCTTTGCTCCTCGGTCCCCGCGGCAGATTTGTGCAGCCCCATTGTTCCTTGGCTCTGCCTACCCCAGAGCACACGGGACTGTCAGAAACCACTAAAACGTGTTGACTTAATGGGAGTTGTGCAGCAAAATGCTGCTGGGTGCTTTGAAAGCTAAGTCTGCGGAGAGGATTCATAACTCCTGCATTGCAATTAATGATAATTAAAAAAAATAAAAGGAAATTTTAGTATTGTGAGGTATGCTGGTTGTCAGAATTAACATCTCATTGAATTATCAAAGCTTTCAAGCAGTGGGTGGTGGAGAGAATGGCTTGGGGCTTACAAATAGGTCAGAGAAAGAACTGCCTGCTAAATATCTGATGGAAACTTTCCACTGGGGAAGAAAATCTTGATGATTTGATGGAATAGGAACAATTCTGGGGAGGATGTCAATACCCTTCAAACTTATGAAAAAATCAGACCCAGAGGCTGAGCTGCCTGCTCACCAACCAGGCTCTGTGTCAGCCTTCCTTGTTCCCTGAGGATCTATCCAGCTCAGACATACATCTCTCACCTTCTCATTGCAAAATGAAAACATAAGAAGAAGGGAAGTATTAAAATTTCGGTGATGCGGTGCCAGCACGGGTCTGCTCTGCGCCCTTGGCATCCCCGGCTGAATGCCCTTGAAAGCAGCCAGCGTTTTTTTGGGCGCTTGTTTTCTCAGGGTGCTGCCGGGGGTGGTTTGGGTCCGGTGCTCAGGGCTGTGGGGCACTTGCAACTATATTTGACATCAACAGGGGGAGCGGTGAATCCTGCTGAAGCTGTCCCTGTGCGGGGCCTGGGATGTGTCACCAGCATCCTCCATCCCCTTCGCCCAGCACCTTCCCTAGCCTTTCCCCAGTCCTTGTCACAGCCTTCGCCCAGCCCTTGCCATGCCGACTGGCAGCTTTGGGGGCTGGCGGTGATTTCCACCAAGGTGGGAGTTCACCCCTGGGGGTTTCTACCCCTGCTGACACTGGGATGTGGTGTTAACGTGAAGGATCTGGGCTGTGCGTACCACCAAGGTGGCAGAGACAATCAATTTTTTATTTTTGCAGCTCTTTATAATGATTCTCATGGTAAGTTGGCTCTGAAATAAGCCAGCTGGGCAGAGGAATCTCTGGTTTTGCATTTGCTCCCACCTCCAAGGGGTGGCTAGTCCTCTTCCATGAGTTCTACAAGGACGAGGATACCCCAAGGGCCCCTGACCCGGGCAGAATCTTCCTGTCTCCCCCCTGTGCCAGGGTGACAACACAGGGTCACCTGAGGATAAAGAGACGAAGGGTTGTGACATGCTTAACTGCTCCTCCCAAGCAGAAAGGGAGAATATAATATTTTAGAAACCAGATGAGCAGATCTGGCAGCCTGCGCTGTGCGGGCTCTTGCGCCTCTGCAGGGAGCAGCCCTGAGCCGGGAGATGGGCGCAGGGTCCATCAGTTGGCTGCTGAGGCTGTGCAGCTTTTATTTAAAACCAAGGAATTTCTTTGTTCCAGATAACTCTTTCCTTAGCAATCATTCCTCCGCTCAGCTTCTTCCTTCCAGTTCCCATAGACAATAACCTTGTGTGAATCGCTGGAGGAGAGACTTGATCAGCAAACCATCCTCCCTCTCTGCCAGCTGTATTCCCCCTGATCGGAGGGACTCTTCTGTCCCTGTGGGGAATGATAGGCTGACGACGATTATAAAAAGCAAATCCCAGAAGTGTTTTTCTCCGTGGGGGAAATGGTGCAGCATAGCTGCTGGGGAATAATAATTATATTATTATGCAGGAATAAAGTCCCACTTGTTTCTGAGAAGGGGATGGATATGGGAGAAGAGTAATGAGTTATTGTAGAATAATTAGCCCACAGCAGCTACGTGGGGCTGCATTTCCCTGGAATATTGTGCTAGAGATGGACTCGCAGCCTGGACCACGCTGTGGGTGAAGGTGAGGCTGCCTAATCCCAAAGAGACACTTGTCAGCATCCACTGGCTCCTGCAGGACGGGCAGGGATGGGAAGCAGAGAGCCACCACAGCCCCAGCGCTCAGCACCATCCCGCGGAGGGATGCACAGGGATGGCTGCTGCCTATATGGCTCCATACGGCCCAGCCAGCTGCTCCGGCCCAGCCCGGCGTGCAGCCACGTGCCTTTGTGTTGATCAGAGCAGCGTTTTCCCCACCGCACAGGGCTGGCAGCGCACACCCGTGTCTCGCTTCAATGCGCGTGAACCAGTGATCACCCAGTTGGGTCCCTTAAATAATTAATATATGTGTCACTGGGCTTCCTCCCTCCGCTGCTACGCTGCCGATTGCTCCGCTGGGATGGAGAGCATTTGGCCAAGGTCACTCCGGGTGTCCGGCCGCAGCTGGATCGGGGGTGGGGGACGGCCTGGGTGCCCCCTCCCAGGTTTCATTGTCCTTACAGCTGGTCCCCGGGTTCCGGCCGTGCTGGCTGGGCAACAGCTCCAGCTGATGAGCAGCACAAAGGGGAATGGCTTTACTGGGGGCGTGGGGCGGGACGGTGGTGGAGGTGGGCAGGGAGAGATGGAGAGATGACTGCGGGGGTCGTGATGAGGGTGACACCCCCCCCCCCCCCCCAACCTGCTGGGCCCCTCCAGAGACCTGCAGCGGTGTGTGGAGGGAGGGTGGCTCCGGTAAACACGGACACCGCTGCCGACCCGCTTTGTGTCCCGCTGCGCATCCCGGCGCCTTCCTCATTGTTTTGTAAAATTGAGAGGGGGGGGGTGGGGGGGCGGGGAGGGGGGGAAAGGCGGATTTAATTTTAAAAATAAAAATAGGAAAAATAATACAAATGGAAAAATGCCTGTTAAAAAGAATAGAGACTGTGTCTATACACATAAAAAAGGCAGGCGGGGGCCGTGCCCGCCCCGGACCCCCCCGGGCTGGCGCTGGGGGGTGGGGGCGGTGCCCCCCCACTGCCCCCGCCCAGCCCCCGGCCCCTCCCCTCCCCGCTCGGCCCCGCCCCTCTGCCCGCCCCCTGGAGCTTCTGATTGGTTGCGCCGCTCGCAAAGCTTCGCCGAGTGGCCGTCCGGTGGGGCGGGCGCGCCGCTGATTGGTGGCGGCGGGCGCGGGGCGGGGCGCGGCGCTGTCAGCCCGGCCGGGGCGCGGCGCGGCGGGAGCCGCCTGAGGGGAGCTGGGAGCGGCAGCGGCGCGGCATGGCCGGCTGAGGCGGGCGGGAGGCAGGGAGCTGCCGCCGCCGCCCGGCGCCGCTCCCCGGCCCCTCTCGGTGGGTGAAGCAGCGCCCGGATGAAGGAAGAAAGGAAGGAATGAATGAATGAATGGCGGAGCGCCGCGCCGCAGCATGAGGCGCCGGCCGAGGACCGCGCCCGGGCTCGCCCTGCTCTGCCTTGCCGTCCTCCTGGCCGCCGCCGCCGGGCTGCCCTCCAGCGCCGCGCCGCCCCCCGAGCCCGGCAGCGGCAGCGGCGGCCCCGCTGAGGGCAGTCCCGGCACTCCCGCGCCCGCCCGGGGCAGCGCTTCGCCGCCGCCGCCGCCGCCCCCGGAGGAGGAGGCGGTGGTGGAGGAGGAGGAGGAGGAGGAGGTGGTGGTGGAAGAAGAGGCGGCCGCGGGCAGCGGCCCCGCAGGTGAGCGGCCCACGCGTGTCCGTGGCGGGGGGGGGGGGGGGCGTCGGCAGCGGGACCAGAGGCTCTGGCGGGGAGCGGGACGGGGCTGCCCCGCTCCCTCCCTTCCCCCCTCCGCCGGGCGGACAAAGGCGCGGCCGGGGGTCGCATCGCAGGGGGCGGTGGGGGACGGGGCGGCGGCTCCGCGGGTCCCCCCGGATTGCAGCGACCTCCGTGCGGGGCAGGAGGAGGGACCCCCCGCGGCGTGGGACTCCCGGGAGCATCTGACGCCCCAACCCCGTGTGCCCGGCTGCAGGGCAGGGGCTCGGTGGGGAGCAGCGGCCCCCACGCGAGACTCGGGTCGGGGGCTGGGTGGGCGATGCAGGGGTGCCCGGGCGGTGCTGAACCCTGCCCGAGCCCACGCCGGTGGTGTTACAGGCTTTACTGGTGGTTTTGGGGAGCAGCGGGGTGGGTGTTGGTCCTGGCTCCCCAAAGCATCCTCCACAGCAGCCACCCCCCCCCGGCGTACGTGCTCCCCACGGAGGAGTTGAAGACACGTCCTTCCCTCCCGTCACCGTTGCCTCGGGGCAGCGTCCAACAGGGTGGCCGCTGGCCTCGAGCATCGCCGGGTGGTACCTTCGTGGCAGAGTTACTCTGTGAGCATCAAGGTTTTCCCTGTGTCCCACCTCCATGTGCTGCCTGCAGAACGGGGTTAGCGATGACTTGGTGTTGCGGGAGCCCGTGTCCCTGAAACCACGTTTGCAGCTTGGTGGGTGTCGGGAAGAGCCCACGCTAGCGTGGGACCCCACGGGCATGTGAGGGGAAAAGAAAGCTGTGGGCTTTTCCTATTGTGATGAATAGGCATCTTGGTGCAGCCCGCTCGAGGCGTGATCCTGCCCTTGTTGCAGTTGAGGGGCTCGTATTGAGCGGAGAAAGGCATTATGGCAATGGGAATATATGGAATTATCCGTGGAGAGCGTGGGGAGGGAAGAGGTGAAGGGCGAACGGGAGGGTTGTGCTCTTAGGTGAAGCTTTCACCGAGTGTAGCGCTGAGTGATGGTGCCCGGAGATGAAAACACTGATGGTCCTCGAAGCTGAGACTCCAGTTTATTTATAGGTTAAGTAGACAAAACTCTGCTGGAGTCCATGGATGGGGCTTTGTCCACTTATTTTACCAGAGCACTCAGCTTCACTCTACATTTCCAAAGAGTTATGTTCAGACATGTGCAAATGCTATAGCACTAATTCTTTCCTTTTTTTATACTTATTTTTTCTCCTTGCCTGGAAGATATTTGGTCTAAGTGTGTTGAGCTTCCCCTAATGTGAAAGGGATATATTCTGCTGCTCTGGTAGCTTTAGCAGTCTGAACAAGTGGATTAATCAACCTGTTTTATCTGGCTAGAAATATAATCAGCTGCAGATCTCAAGTCCCTTGTTTTCAGACTTTAATTCCTTTCTTTCCATTGAGGTTTCTGTCTTTACTTTCTCCGGAAGAGACAGAATGGCTTAAGATTAGGAACTGCTGATAAAGATAGGAGGGGTTGAGTTTTCTTAAAGCAAAAGCAATTTCCTCTATCGTGCCATGAGCAGACCTCATCGGCTCAGCGATTCACCTGGCACGGGCGGCGCGGTGTGACCCTCCGGGTGCCAAACGGGGGAAGCACGTATCTGCCCTCAGTTGTCAAGCACATATTTTTCCTGTCTGACCTGACGTGTTGTGTTTGTTTCTGTCACTGTCAGAAGGCATTGCCTCTCCCATCTTGGGCTCCAATGGTTTATCAAGAGCATCGTCCTCATAGGGGCCAGGTGACAAGTGTCATGTGAGGATATTGCAAGGTATGAGGTGACTGGTTTCGTAACTGCTCTGGGATGTTCTCAGATGTCCAGTATGATCTCACATAACGTGCTTTTATGTTGGCTGCCGCAGGAGGTGTCAGGGATGCAAGTCGGGAGGTTTTGTGTCTAATCCCAGCGCTGCTACGGGTCCCCACAGGCCGCCCTCACCTCTGCGTTTCAGATCTCGCTTGGGAAATGGGAGCACTGATGAGAACTCTTCCCCACCACCCCTGGGTGTGTTGAGTTGTTATTGTGGAGGCCAGCATCACCCTTTGAAGTTCTAAAGTGATAATTATTAATGGCCACAGCCACTTGATCTCAAAATTGCTCTCTGGTGCCTTTACGCTGCGGTGATGGCCAGAGTAGGGAAGCACGGGCAGGTGATGTCTTCTCAAACATGCTAATTTGTTATTCGTTAGCGTGGCAGGTTGAGATTAACCCTGATTGAGGAGCTGGTGTCTTCCTGGGTCAGGGGGGTGATGAGGCAGCAGTGGGAGGAGATGCTGGGGCTTGGCAGCATCGCCCTGTGTGACGTGGGAGCTTGCAGAGAGGGGTGTGGGTGGGTGGTATGGCTGTGGTCTGTGTGGGAGCTGGTCTCTGTGGGGTTTGTGCGGAGCTTTTCTGTGCTGCCCTGTCTGCTGAGTGTTGCTGGACCCTGCGCAGAGGTTTGCTCTCAAAGGGCGTTAAGCACTGAAGGCACAGTAAAGACAGTGGGCACCGTAGGTTTATAGCTGAAACTCTCCTTTTGTTTTAATTCAAGCATGTTTTCAACATTACTTTTTCAATTCAATAGGTAATTAATGCATTAAAATGCTTTATTGCATGAAACAAATGGGTCTTTTCTCATGTACCTTTTTAGAAAGGCTTCCTTTAATGCTGATGGCGTTCTTGCTGATAAGAAATTGGTGTGAGTCTTCACATTCAGTGTTTGTTCAGCACTACCAAGATTTAGATTCCAACTTCAATGCATTTTTCTCATTCTGATTTAAGAAGCACTTCAGCTACCACCTGCTTTCTCCACTCTCATTCTCTTCCCTTTCCTAGTTTCACGATGTTTATTTTTCTTTCCAAGGCTGTGATATGTTAAAATCCCGGGTTTTGTTTTTAAGAGAAGTAAATTGCTAATCCTCGTGTTTGTGGAGACAAGCTTAGAAGTATCCCCTGCCTTATCACCAAAGCCTTTAACACCCACTGTGGAGACTCTTCCTTTTACATGCAATAGTCTCATTTTAAAGCAAAAGCTGGAGCTTTGCTGGGGAAGCTGACATGGGGGTGGCTGCTGTTTGGATGGATGCTTGATGTTGGAGCAGAGATGTGGCTGCTGTGGCCAGTGTAGTCCTGGTTGGACTTTCCATGCCTAAAGAACAAAACTCCTCTATTCTACCCATTTCTGTAGGGTAGTGTTGAACAATATGGATCTCTAATGCATATTTTATTCTGACTCTTTTCCAGCTCCATGCACTGCAGAAGGGTGGGCTGAAAAGCTCAAACCCCCTCTCACAACCTTGCTGAACCCATGCTGTGGCTGAGTCAGCAGAAAAGCTACACCCAAACCCTGGATATAGTCATCTTTAGACCATACTAAGTGTTTCAGATGTTGAAAGCTGCTGCCTTCTCTCCTCCCCACTGTTTCTGTGGTGCTCCACCTGGCTTCCTGGGTTGCGGAGTCCCACACGTGACCCTGAGTCTGGCTCCTCACCTCTGTACCTCCTAGGAGGGGACAACAAATAATTTCTGCTGCAGCCACAGGGCAGGAAATGCAGGTGGCTCAGCAGCTCGGAGCAGTTAACCACAGGAAGGTGTCCCATGCTGTCACGGAAATGGGTGAAAGCTGAGTCAGGGTGTGCAATGATGTCTGATGGGTCCCCAGCCTCCAGCACGGGGTTATCTCTTGCTGGGATGCTCGTGGCCCAGATGGAGGAGGTGCAGCCAGAGCCCCGCAACGAGTGGTGGCTTGGCTTTGGGTGGGAATATCTGGTGGGTTTAACTTGTAAAGAGGAGCCTGGCAAATCTCTGGGGGCAGTGAGGGGTGGCCTGGCTATTTGGCTGGATGTAGGGGAGGCAGTGGGGTGAGGAGTGGACCTGGTCATGAGCACTGGCTTAATTTCTTCATCATCCAGCTGGAGAGGTGGAGGATTCTGCTGTTGCGCAGGGTGCATGGGGAAAGGTGTGCACACCCTGTGCATGAAAGAGGTGCCATGGGGTCAGGTCTTATGGAGGTCTCTACAGTACTGGCAGTATTACTGCAGGGGAAAGACTTTGGTCCAAGCCATGGAGCCATTGACACCCAGACGCTGCCACACGGGCTGTGCTCCTTGATGGGTTGGGAGCTCTCAAATCCTGGTGGGAAAGAAACAGCCAAGTTGCTGAAGGCAGTTTTGGGACATCTTACCAGTGCTGGTCCCTTATGCAGCTCTGGCTGACTCCATCTCTCTTCCCAACCAGCCATTACACCCTTTGGTAGAGGCTTTCCCAGTCAGGTTTGCCCTGTGATCACCTTTTCCACTGTGTTCACTGTGGTACAGGACTCTTTCAGGGATACACATAAATGATTTATGCCTGTGCAGCTGGTTGGGTTTCCAAGGCTGGGGTTGAGCACTAGGTGAGAATAAATGTTTGCAATGGACTTCTGCAACCTTAAAAATCTGTCTCTAGGTGCAAGTGCAGGTCCTGCCCTTTGGCGCTGGGCTCATACGTGATCTGGGGCTGTCTTTCTGCTCATTGCCTGGGAAGGCAGCTTAAGCTTTCCTTGTTTGAGGGCTCAGGATTGCGTTCAGTGTGGTTACTGAGATAGCTTGCTTTTAAGATGTCAGTGGGATTTAAATTTTTTTTTAAAGAAATGGAAATTTCTTTCCTAGCAATGTGCGCTCGCAGCCCAGAACCCACCCGTGCCCTGTGCTGCAGCCAGAGCAGGGGGGGCAGCAGGGCCAGGGAGGGGATTCTCCCCCTCTGCTCCGCTCTGGGGAGACCCCCCTGCAGTGCTGGGGCCAGCTCGGGGGCCCCCAACAGCAGAAGGACACGGAGCTGCTCGAGCGGGGCCAGAGGAGGCCACGGAGATGCTGGGGGGGCTGGAGCAGCTCCCCTGGGGGGCCGGGCTGAGAGAGTTGGGGGGGTTCAGCCTGGAGAAGAGAAGGCTCCGGGGAGACCTTCGAGCGGCCTCCCAGGGCTTAAAGGGGGGACAGGAAAGG